TGCTAGAGGCCCATCCCCTAACTACCCCTATGATCACCCAAGAAGTCTCCCACCTAGCAGCGCCAATAATCATAACAAGGGCATAGTCGAGCGGTCTGCCCTCCCGTGATCACCAAAGGCCCATCCCCTGTCTACCTTTGCAATCACCTAGGAAGTATCACCCGTGATGCCAAACATATCACATAAGCATGCCTCACATGCCTCAGTGCCCTAGTAGTGGTCAATAATACATTTATAAAGAAAACTTACTTTGAAATCAGGTTTCGCATGCAAAGTTTTCAACCATGATCACATGTTGTGCATGCCAACGAAAATGGTCATGAATGACATGCTTAATGGAAGTTGATGTCAATGTATTTTGCAACCGCATACTCAATGATCCTAACCATCATATAGGGTACAACGAACTTTCTTATCAAAGTATGAAAATATCCTAACATCACTATTCCACAAATGCTAGGTTCTTGCATCGTAGTTGCAAATGGATTTTTGCTCACCTACAATGCAAGAACTACATAAGCCAATGCTTAGTAAGCAAAATCATGCATGTCCTAAAGGCCCATCCCCTGTCTATCTTTGCAATCACCCTGAAGTATTACCCGTGATGCCAAACGTATCGCATAAGCATGCCTCACATGCCTCAGTGCCTTAGTAGCGGTCAAAAAACATTTATAAAGAAAACTTACTTTGAAATCATGTTTCGCATGCAAATTTTCAACCATTATCATATGTTGTGCATGCCAACGAAAATGCTCATGAATGACATGCTTAATGGAAGTTGATGTCAATGTATTTTGCAATCGCATACTCAATGATCATAATCATCATATAGGGTACAACGAGCTTTCTTATCAAAGCATGAAAATATCTTAACATCACTCTACCACAAATGCTAGGTTCTTGCATCGTAGTTGCAAATGGATTTTTACTTACCTTTTTGCCCTTGTGTGTGCACAAGCTCCTACGGAGATTATATCACTTTCCTTTTTCACTCAACGTCGGAAAATCACCTGTATTACCGTTTAATATTAAATACAATCCTCCATTTAATAGCCTTAACACACACAAAATCTCAAAATACTTCCATTCACGTCAAAATAATTTAAACGAATTCCTTATCCAAGTTACTAACGGCATTACAATCCCGTCCCATAAGTCTCCTTTTTCCTTGAGTCCAATTACCAACATCAACGTCATCCAATTGTTGTCAACACCCTAATACTCCTTAGAATCTATTTTCTAGGCCCAAGAGATAATTAATTAATTTACATGTAAAGGTTGAAATCATATTAAACACATAAATGGACAGAACCTGTTTTTCAGGTTTCATCACCGTCCAACTACTATTCCAGTCCGTTTTCACCCCCTTATCCATATCCAATGACTCCCAAATTTTTACCACGTTTCTATAACATTTATGTGAAGGTAATAATGCTCTAAAGTCGTGACAAATCAAGTGTTCTCAACATCAAAATAGTCCATTTCCACGACATCAAAATCAGGCAGTTTTCATTGTGACAGGTTTCGGTTTCCATTTTATTAGCATGTCATCGAACAGTTTCCAGGCGATTAGAAGACCATCCAAATTCATCAATCAACACAACTCTATTCTTGTTGGTTTCTTTCAGGTTCTTGTACTCAATTACCCCTCTCTTTTGCCATCATAAAATCATAAACAACCCTTATACTTAGCCTCAAGTAAGTTTATAGTTTAAACATATTATAAAACAAGCAAAAGAACTATAGAAAAACTTCAAAACCGTGAGCTAAACTCACCTATCCAGAAATTCAATTTCGGCTCCTTGTTTCTGCTTCTCTCTTTTCCTTTTTGCTTTCTCTTTCAATCGGTGGTCAATTGGGGATAATTTGTAAGACTAAACATGTTGTTAGGAGGTGTATATAAAGTCTTCAAGATGCTGGAGACGTGACTCTTCCTTAAGGATTAAGAAAATGTGGGGTGCAGCCAAGTGTTTAGCATGAGGTGGTCTTTTCCTACTATATTTGACTTTTCTCTTGGACTATTTAACTTATATATATTGATTTATAAGATATATATATCTATCTATATTAAATAAAAAGACATAGGAGACATGATATATATCTTAAGGATGAAGGGATTGAGTGTTAAAATGACAACTATCCCAAGCATGAGGTGCCAAGCACGATGTGTCTTCATTGCAGCCATACTTGATTTTCAACCATTATTGATATGATCCAGGAGTCGAGCCCAACGAAGGCAAGTGCGAGACGAGACCCGTTGATAGTCGATGGCGGACCAATGACGCGATTAAGAGCAAAGCAAGTGAAACAAGTGATGGGATTGCTCGTTCAAGAAACCATAGATGGAACCATGTTCAGGACTCAAAATGGAACAACTTTCATGTTCAGGTGGAAGACCGAATCAAATTGGATCAATTTGTTATCAAGCGACGAAATCGGAGGTTGAAAATAAGCCTGTGCGACCGCACAGCAAAAACACCATGCGGCCGCACAGTGGCATACCGAAACTTTAATTGGAATTTTTATTGAACCATGCGATTGCATGGAAATACACCATGGGGCTGCACAGGCCAAAAAAATTGGCGAATTTTTCAATTTTGGTAATTTTCCATATTTTGTTAAATTTTGATTCTTTTCTATATTTTGAAGATTATGCTAGACTTTTGCACGATTTTTACCTAGTTTTTAGGTTTAGTATAAATAGGAGTTTCCATTCAATTGTTAAAAACCTTTGACATTATTGATATTGAATTAAAGTGAGACATATTATCTTCTCTTTATCGTTCTTCATTGAACAATTTCGAACTTATCAAGTGTTAACTTGTGGCGTTCAAACAATTAATTCTTGGATTGCGTGATCAAGGGGTCTTTCAAGCGTCGTTCTTGTTGGGTTTTTTGGTTTGATTTTCTTTTGGGTTAATCCTAAACTTTGGATTAATTTGGTTTTCTTGGGTTCATCAATCTCGTTGTTGGTTCTGTTTGTTTGAATTGCCGGTAAAACAATTGATTTAGTTCACTTGGTTCTTTGAAGTGCTTGGAGGGAGACTTTGAGTGGTAAAAGGCCGAGTGGTGAGTTTAATAGAGGGAAAAAGCCATAGTGAGTGTTTTCCGAGTGAAATCTTTGTGAGGCATAAAAAAATTGTGTGATATGATGTCGGAAAGAGAAGGTTCTAATTCAAGCCAAAATGGTAATGACAACAATGCATCGGAGGACATGATAAGGATGTTTGAAAGGGTACTTGGTGATATTAGGGAGAAGGTGGATAGGCAAGGGGAATGGATGGCACAAATGGGTACTACAATTGCTAATCTTAGCTGGGGACAAGTGGAGATGTCTAATGCTAGGGGGCCAGATAGGCATGAATCTAGGGGAGGAAGGCGGGATGAGTATCGTAGTGATGAGGATGATTTTGATGAAAATGACATTGATATGGGTCGAGCAAGGCATAGGGGCGATAGGATGGAAAGACGGGGTAGAAATAACTTGGGAGATGAAGTAGATGGAAATTTGGGAAGTATTAAAATGCCTATTTCGCAATTTAAGGGGAGAAGCGATCCGGAAGCACATTTAGATTGGGAAAGGAAGGTTGAGATGATTTTTGAGTGCTATAATTATTCGGAGGAGAAAAAGATAAAATTGGCGGTGCTTGAATTTGTGGATTACGCGATATCTTGGTGGGATCAAGTTCTGACATCACGGTGTAGGGGTCGAGAAAGACAAATTAGCACTTGGGATGAGTTGAAGATGTTGATGAGGAGGAGGTTTGTTTCGAGTCACTATTATAGGGAAATCCATCAAAAATTACAAGGTTTGTACCAAGGATCAAAAAGGGTAGATGATTATCACAAGGAGATGGAAATTCTTATAATTCGGGCTAATGTGGACGAAGATCGGGAAGCTACCATGGCACGGTTCTTGAATGGGTTAAATCGGGATATTGCAAACATTGTAGAGTTGCAACATTATGTGGAAATCGAGGACATGTTACATGTGGCAATGAAGGTCGAGAGGCAATTGAAGAGGAATGGGACATCTAGGCAACCGTTAGGTACTTCAACTCCTAATCCAACATGGAAATCGAAGTGGGATGATAACAATAAAAATGGGGTTGCACCTAGAGGTAAAAATGATTGGCTAAAGGACAAGGATGAAAACGCTAGCAAACCAATATCAAAATCGAAGGCACAACCGTCGCGCAATCGGGACATCAAATGTTTTAGGTGTTTGGGAACGAGGCATATTGCTTCTCAATGCCCAAACAAACGGACGATGGTTTTGCGGGATAATGAAGAGATTTTGAGCAATAGTGATGGCGAGTTTGATGACATGTCGACGTTGGAGGGTGTTAGTGAAGAAGAAAAAGTTGAAGGGCCGGTTGGGGATCTATTAGTCACAAGGCGAGCTTTCACTACTCATGTCAAAGCGGATGACTTGGAGTTGCAACGGGAGAACATTTTCCACACTCGAATGCTACGTCAACAATATGGTATGTAGTGTTATAATTGATGGTGGTAGTTGCACTAATGTAGCTAGCATATCTCTTGTAGAAAAGTTGGGTTTAACATTGTTGAAACACCCGAGACCTTATAAATTGCAATGGTTGAATGAGAGTGGCGAGGTGAGGGTGAATCAAAGAGTGTTAATTAATTTGTCAATTGGGAGTTATAAGGATGAGTTGGTATGTGATGTGGTGCCAATGCAAGCGGGACATATTTTATTGGGGCGACCATGGCAATACGATAGGAAGGCTATGCATGATGGTTACAAAAATCGATATAGTTTCATTAAGGATGGAAGGACCATTACTCTTGTGCCATTAACACCGGTGCAAGTCTATGAAGATCAATTAAAATTGAGAAATGAGGAAGAGAGGAGAGCAAAGGAGTTAGAAAAAATGAGAGCAAACAGTGAGTTGGAGAAAAAGAGAGAAGATGTTGAGATAGCCATTAGAGAGAAAAAGAGAGAGCAATCACAAGAGAGAAAAGAAAGAGAGTGCCCCGAGAGAAGAGAGAAAACACGACCAAATTTCTTTGCAAAAGAAAGTGATTTTAGGAGGGCGGTAGTTGAGAGAAAAGAGATGATCTTGTTCGTTTAGAAGGAATCACTCCTCAATTTTGAGGAAACTAACCCACCTCTCCCTAGTTTGGCTAAGTCTTTGTTGCAGGAATTCGACGATGTATTTCTGGAGGATGCACCAAGTGGATTGCCGCCTATTCGAGGCATTGAACATCAAATTGACTTCATACCCGAAGCTGTCATTCCAAATCGACCGGCTTATCGAAGTAATCTCGAGGAGACTAAGGAGCTTCAAAGGCAAGTGGAGGAGTTGATGAGCAAATGATACGTGAGGGAAAGCATGAGTCCTTGTGCGGTACCGATTTTGCTTGTACCAAAAAAGGACAGAACATGGCGAATGTGCGTGGATTGTAGGGCTATCAACAACATAACGGTAAAGAATCGTCACCTTATACCTAGGTTAGATGACATGCTAGATGAATTACATGGTTCTTGCATATTTTCTAAAATTGATTTAAAAAGCGGGTATCATCAAATTCGTATGCGGGAGGGTGATGAATGGAAAACGACTTTTAAAACTAAATATGATTTATATGAATGGTTGGTTATGCCATTTGGACTCACAAATGCACCTAGCACTTTTATGTGTTTAATGAATTATGTTTTACGTGCTTTTATAGGAAAATTTGTTGTGGTTTATTTTGACGACATATTAATCTATAGCAAATACCTAGGAGAGCATTTGGAACATTTAAAGTGTGTGCTAATTGTTTTAAGGAAAGAACAACTCTATGCTAATATTAAGAAATGCACATTTTGTATGGATAGAGTTATATTTCTTGGATTTGTGGTTAGTGCTAATGGGATAGAAGTAGACGATGAAAAGATAAAAGCTATTAGAGATTGGCCGACACCTAAAAGTATAACGAAAGTTAGAAGTTTTCATGGTTTGACTAGTTTTTGTGGGCAATTTGTGAAGGATTTTAACACTATCACTGTACCACTCACGGAAGTAATTAAAAAGAGTGTAGGCTTTCATTGGGGTGATGAACAGGAACTTGCATTTAATACTATTAAAGGTAGATTGTGTGAAGCACATATTTTGGCATTACCTAACTTTGATAAAACATTCGAGATTGAGTGTGATGCATCAGGAATAGGGATTGGAGCAATTTTAATGCAGGATCGGAGGCTTATTGCATACTTTAGCGAGAAATTGAGTGGAGCTGCTTTAAATTATCCTACATATGACAAAGAACTTTACGCACTTGTTCGAGCTTTGGAGACTTGGCAACATTATCTATGGCCGAAAGAGTTCGTAATACACACCGATCATGAGTCACTAAAGCACTTACGGGGACAAGGTAAATTGAACAAGAGGAATGCACGGTGGATGGAATTCATTGAGACCTTTTCATACGTCATTCGGTATAAACAAAGTAAGGAAAATGTGGTGGCGGATGCGTTGTCGAGAAGGTACGTATTTCTAACTACTCTTGATTTTAAGTTACTTGGGTTTGAACATATTAAGGAATTGTATGAAAAAGATGTTGAATTTTCGGATATTTATTTTTCTTGCATAAAAGGGGCGGTTGATAGGTTCTTTAGGCATGAGGGGTATTTATTTCGGGAAAATAGGTTATGTGTTCCTAATTGTTCTATTCGAGAGTTGTTAGTAAGGGAGGCATGTAGTGGTGGATTGATGGGACACTTTGGGGTTCAAAAGACTTTAGATGTATTGAAGGAGCATTTTTATTGGCCTAAGATGAAAAGTGATATTGAGCAAATTTGTAGTCGATGTATAGGTTGTAAAAAGGCTAAATCTAAGGTTTTACCACAAGGTTTGTACACACCTTTACCTACACCTAGTGAGCCTTGGGTTGATATCTCGATGGACTTTGTTTTGGGTTTACCTAGGACTAAGAGAGGTTGGGATTCTATTTTTGTGGTTGTAGATAGGTTCAACAAAATGGCACCTTTTATACCATGTCACAGAACTGA